CCTGTGTCGGTCCACACACTTCTGGTCATTCCTGGAGCCCTGACATCACCAGTGCATCTGTCCTTTCCCTGTCCCTTGGTAAGGGGGTCGCGAAAAACCTCCAAGGGGGGAGTCTTGAAAACTCTATCCTGTAGCCATTGCGAATTGTGTCTAGGATGAATGCGTTCTGGGTAGTCTTCAGCCATTGTGTGTGGAAGTGTCCTAGTCTTCCTCCCACTTGGCTTCGCCAGTCACTTGGGCTGAGTCTTGGATTTGACCTGGTTGGGGTTCAAGAGGAAGCCTCCCTTCTCCCTTCCCCTTTGGAGCCCCAGCCCCTCCTCTATCCCTGAAACATGGCCTCTCTTGTTGTATACTGCCTGTTGGGGCGAAAAAAATGTTGTCCCGTTTGCTTGCTGGGGACTGGAAATCCTTTCCTTTTGACGGCCGACCTCTCTAGGACCAAGGTTAGCTCTGGCCCAAAGAGGAGTTTTCCCTCGAAGGGCAGGCCGTTCGAGGAAGAGCCTGGATTTGGAGGCGACGTCCCACTGCCAGGATTTTAACCAGATAGCTCTTAAGGCTGAATTTATGATCGCAGTCGATCTTGCTGTATATCTGATGGTCTCCGCTGACGCGTCTGCGATAAAAGCCACTGCTTTTTCCAAGACTGATAGTGATTTCAGGATCTCCTCCGCTGACGTGCCTTATTCAAGGTGAGAGTGGAGCTGTCCTAGCCATACATCTAGGGTTCTGGAAACGCAGGTTGTGGCTACTGCCGGTTTAAAGTTCACTGCAGATGCTTCCCACACTCTTTTGAGGACCATGTCTGCTTTGCGGTCCATTGGGTCCTTTAGGGAACCTCCGTCTTTGAAGGATAAGTCCGTCGATTTTGAGATCCTCGAAAGGGGGTCATCTGGTTTCGGGCAGGATTCCCACACAGACGCATCTTCTTCTTTAAACAGAAATCACCTTTTAAGGTTTTTAGGAAAGAAAGCCTTCCTTTCTGGCTCTTCCCATTCCCTTTTTATGGTAGACCATAGGGTGGAATGGATCGGGAATGTGCAGCTGCTTCTCTTTTGTATCCCTGCGTATAGCTGTTCATGCAGAGAGAGATCTGGTTGTTCCTCTTCCAGATCCAGAGTATCATAGATTGCCTTCAAGAGGACTTTCATATCTTCTACTGGTAAAAGGAACCTTTGCGATCTGTGATCCTGGTCTTCCGTCTCGCCTTCCTCCGAGTCGGAAGTACCAGAAGGTTCCTCTCCTTGACCCGCGATGGTGGCCTGGTCTTGCTTCCTTCTCTTTTCCGATGGGGAAATGCCTGATGTGCCAGGTTGAGGCTCATCCGGGGCTGGTTCCTGCCTCTGCTCCCTAAAACTTTGAAAGGTTTTAGACATCTCCTGCATCATGTTTTGTAGAAAATCTTTGAAGAGAGATCCCGACTCTTTCTTAATCAGCCTATCAATACATTCTTGGCACAGCTGCTTTCGCCAAGCGCTAGCTAGCTTCTTCCTGCAGGTAGCGCATTTTTTCTTTGTCTCACAAGGAGTTTCTTTTCCCCCCTATATCCTCCTCCTGTGTTCCCATCTAGGGACAGGAGACACAAGGTATAGGCCCCTGTAAGCCAAGGACCCCAGGGGACTGTCGTACGTGCACCCACTGGCACCCAGAAAGCCCTAAGGTGCTGGAGAGAGAGAGGAGGAGAGGGAGGAGAGGGAGGAGAGAAGACCCCATATGCCTTCAGGCCGCCCCACCCCAACCCCCGAGACCCCCGCCGGAAGACATAAGGGGTGGGGGGTCAGGAGGGGGAGTGGAAGTGGCAGCCCAAAAGGCTCTTACCTTGCTGCTGGCCTCCCCCAGCTCCTACAGATCTGCCTCCATTCTTGCTGCAGCCTGCCCTCAGTGCGGCTATTTTTACAGGGTTGGTGGGGCTCCGCCCTCCCTTGAGTCCAGGCACGCCGACTACCCTCTCACGGCCGCTGGTGGATGGAGCAGCCATGGCATGGGGAAAATTTGCGGCCTGCTGCCCATATCCAAGATGGCGGCGGTCCACTTCCTGTTTCTCCGGGGCCAGAAGTGACGTCACAGTCCCGGCGCCTGGAAATTACGCGGTGTCCCAGCCCGCACTTTCCTCGTTCCCATGCTGTGGAGATGTTGGGAGGAAGGTAGGCTTTGCCCCACAACATAGTGGCTCTTGCAAGCAGGTCGGCAGAGCGGGCTCTACCCCCTGGAGAGCCCCGCTGGACCGTACAAGGGGTCTGTCTCCCCCAACCCCAAGAGGGTGTGTTCAGGGGAAAAACCTGGGTGAAGCCACCCCACAAGGCTCCTGCCTTGCTGAGAAGAGGAAGAAGGGGGGGCCCCATCCAGGGGGCCTCTGTACGCCGCCAGACAGCCAGGAAAATAAATAAAAACAAACGGGCATAGCGTTGTTCCTGGCCGGAGGAAACACTAATACTGAGGGTCCCCCAGGGAGAGAGGCTACTTATAGGAAAAGAAGGTGGAACGGGTGTTTCCTGGGAGGAGCCTATCTCTCCTGTGAAGCTGTCCTAGAAGATGACTAGGGAAAACACAATATATTGCCCAATTGTTGATAATAAAATATAAAAGATTATGTTACACTGAGTAAATAGATACCAAACATGACATGCTTTAAAATTGCGTATGCCTGTGCAATGGCAACAAAGTACATACATTTTTATTAACGATAGGCGGCACTTTAAAAGCCTTGTCTCCAAATATCACCCAAACGTCCTCTCCACTCCTCCCACGACCTCCTGCTCTCTAGCTCCCTAGTCTCCTCCTCCCATGCTCATCTCCAGAACTTCTCCAAAGCCTCCCCCATCCTCTGGAACTCTCTACCCCAATCTATCTGACTATTGCCTACTCTGCCCACTTTTAGGCGATCTCTGAAAACCTATCTCTTCAGAGAAGTCTATCTCACCTTCAGTTAATAACGGAATCTTGTATTCCTTTCTATCAATTCATCACCCAAAGATATTACCTTTTGCACCACCAACTTCCCCCTCTTAGATTGTAAGCTCCAAGGAGCAGGGCCCTCCTAACCCTCTTGTATTGAACTGTATCATTGCTGTATGGTCTCCCTTTATATTGTAAAGTGCTGAGCAAACGTTTGGCGCTATATAAATCCTGTACAGGGGCGGACTGACAACTCATGGGGCCCCCGGGCAATAGGGGATCATGGAGCCCCTGTGTCCTTGACCAAACTCAAAAAAGCCTATGAAAAAGGTACCAGGGGCATCTCATGGGGGACCCTACTGACCCCGGGCCCTCGGGCAGTGCCCAAGTTTCCAAATGGTCAGTCCGCCCCTGATCCTGTATTATAATAATAATAATATGTCCTATCTAGGAAGTTGTGAAGATGTCCAGTTACTTTTAAGTTATATATTTCTCAGCCAGCCATGTTCAGACTATAATAAACTAGACCTGTACTGTGTAAGCTGTGCTCCAAAGGGACAAGCAAAGGGCAAAGGACTAGTGACCAGCATTGCCATTGCAGCTGATCTTTCCATATTACTGACTTACCATGCCTTGTGCTTCACTGTGTTTGTAAGAGAAGGTGGCCATCCTAGTAGAGGTGGTAAACTGATAACTGATGAGGGAGGGGGGTGTAGCTAATATAAAACCTTCCCCCATCTTCTGTACTGCACCATCCTTGCAGGAGGATTCTACAGCACTGAGCTACCTAGAATTTCCTGGGAGAAAGATGATGATGTCACCCTAGTCTTGGTGTCACTAAAACTGGGGAAGAGGTAAGTATACCATTTCACTTTTGTGCCCCCACGGATTTGTTTAAAAAAAGACAAACTCCTGTTCTGGGCCATACAGCATCCAATACATGCCTTGCCATCCGTTCTGTGTTGCATCTCAAAAGTGGGTTTGCTGATGTGAAAAAAATATTTCAGCTGTATGATGTCTCTCTGTGTGTCTGTGAATATTCTGCCTGCTTGTGTCCATGTCTGCTATAATTGCTGTGTAGCTCTCACCTGCAGGAATGCTGGACATAGAGACCCAGGGATTGTGAGATATATAGTTTCTTCACTTGAAATATTAGTTTTCACACAAAAGACAGAGGTCATTCAGTAACCTGTGCAGAGCAATTCCAATTACCTCAAATTTCTCCACAAACAAAAAGTGCTGACATAGGAATGTGAAGATTTAATCCACTATAGCAGGGGTAGGGAAATGTTCAACCTTCCAGCTGTTGCAGAACTCCAAATCCCATAAGGCATTGCACACTCTGACAGTCACAAGCATGACTTCCAGAGATGAATGAGTTATGGAACATGTAGTTTGGCAACAGCTATACCCCTGTACTATAGGTTGTGCAACAAATGGCAGCGTGAAACTACATGATCAATGCACATCTTATGCGGGTGAGAAACACAAGGTGCAGGTAGGAATGTTTGCAATGCCTTTAAGCAAACTAAGGAAATTATTAGAACCTCTGTCAGGTTAGTCAATGGCCAATAGCCAGCAGAACAGCAGTTGTCATCTGAACAGGAGGAAAGAGGAAATCTTCACACTGGGACACCCATTCTGATGACAACTGTCTAAGAGGAAATGTGCCTTAACTAAAGCTATGGATACACTTCTAACTAAACAGGCTCAAAAAGGGTCAGGGCATCTAGAACAGATATTTCAGCTGTAGGTATGGCGTGAATCATAAAACTCGCTTCTTACATATTTCTTGGTCTCTTGCAGGGACATCACCATGTTTATTATGAAGTGCTTATTCAAACCAATGCTGGCCATATGTCTCCTACTCCTTGCACTGGTCATACTTTTTTACTTCTGGAATAAATCAGATTTTTCTCTACTGCCTTTGAAAAATCAACAAACAGATATTCCTCTTATGAAAAGACAAAACGAGACTCTTGTCCTGGTTTGGGTCTGGCCTTTTGGAGACCATTTTCCGTTGGACAGATGCCAGGCTGAATTTTGGTATCTCAGACTGCAAACTAACAGCAAACAGAAATCTCTATGGCATTGCTGATGCCGTGGTCATGCATCATGTAGATATCATGTACGATAAAAGATCAGTGCCCCAGGAGCCAAGACCTCATTTTCAACATTGGGTTTGGTTTAACATGGAGCCACCACTTATCATTACCAACCTACATTGGCTGGATGGCCTTTTTAACATGACATTGACATTTCGCAAGGATGCAGATATCTTCAGACCTTATGGTCAGCTAATAGCCTTTAAAGAGCCACAAAACATCACCATCCCAACCAAATCCAAGCTGGTGGCTTGGGTAGTTAGTAAGTTCTACCCAGGTGTCTGGAGAACAGCATATTATGAAGAACTGAAAAAATATATTCCGATTGATGTTTATGGTAAAGGACACATTGCACTGTCCTGGGATGACTTCAATAAGACCATTTCTCAGTATAAATTCTATCTGGCCTTTGAGAATTCTGTCTTTAAAGATTACATCACTGAAAAACTATGGTCAAATGCATTTGGCACATGGACCTTGCCAGTTGTGCTAGGGACCTCCCGTGAGAACTATGAACGTTTTGTCCCTGGAGATGCTTTTATTCATGTCAATGATTTTCCAAGCCCAAAGGATCTGGCCATGTACCTTCTTGAGTTGGACAAAGATGATGAGAAATACAGAAAATATTTCAACTGGAGATCTCGATATTATGTAAAGAATGGGGGTGGATGGCAACTTAGTTACTGTCAAGTGTGCATGGCCTTAAAAAATGGTCCTCATTACCAGGTCATTCCTAGCATAGCAAAATGGTTTCTGGGAAATGGCACCTCTTCATAATGAGCTAACAACAAATGATCAAAGACTTGCTATTTTTCACATTTGTACCCTTATATACTAAGTATATAAGTTATATCATTTAAAGCAATGAATGCTTTACTTACATCTTTTTAGTAATGTTTTTATTTGTTGCTTATTTTCACGTAAGGTGGTTTTGCTTGAGCTAAATGTGAAAACGTGGCAATGAAATGCTCCTGGAGTGCACATTGTTCATAAAACATGTCAGGAAGCCTTTTATGTATGCTGTAATAAAACACCTGAGGAACAGACCATGCATTAAAAAAAAATATTTGATAAAAAATATATTTACTGTATTTTTTTTCTGAGTAAAAAAGAACTGTTTATGAAATATAAATATGTCATAGAATATAGATATAGAAGTTGATCAGCTTATACATAGGACTTAATTCCAGACAGATAAGAAAAACACATAAAGTACAGGAATGGCCGGCACTCCGAATGAAATCCAACTGTACACTTCTTTATTAAGGCATGTACAAATCTAAAATAGCCAACACATTTCAGACAAATCAGTCCTTAGTCATGGCTAATATTTATTTATTTCAGGTACTTATAAAGCGCCGTCCATTTACGCAGCACTTTACATATAAATTGTACATTCACATCAGTCCCTAACCCTCAAGGGGCATACAATCTAAGGTCCCTAACTCACATTTATACATACATACTGTATACTAGGGCCAATTTAGACAGGATCCAATTAACCTACCAGCCTGTCTTTGGAGTGTGGGAGGAAACCGGGGGAGTACCTGGAGGAAACCCACACAGGCACAGGGAGAACATGCAAACTCCAGGCAGGAGGTGCCGTGGCTGGGATTTGAACCAAGGACCCTAGTACTGCCAGGCGGAAGTGCTAACCATTTAGCCACTGTGCATAAAACACACTTACATAGTATTCCAAATACATGCATTAAAATTGCTCTAAAGCAAAAAGAAAAACCCAAAATTAACCAGTGCAGGAAGCCATTACAGAGGCAGAAAAAGGCAGCAAAGAATATGTAACAAAATAAATATATATATATATATATATATATATATATATATGTGTGTGTGTGTGTGTCACAAGGAGAAGAGAATACATATTGTTATGTCATCTATGGTCCCTATTTAGCACATTGTACTACATAGACTATGTGGTCTGAGCCACAATTAATATTCTGGCCAATGTCATACATCGCTCCTGTAACCAATGTTATAACATTTTTGCTGAATTTATGAATTATACAATATCTACAATTTTTCTATTCCACTGCAAAAAGAACCCAGATAAGATAGCCAGGTTTTTGTCTTTTAAAATGACCGTATGTGAATAGGAGCCAAAATGGAACGCAGCATAGGAGCCCTGCGAATACTAAATTAACGCCTTTGGACAGAATGTTATAAAATGATTTATCTGTATTTAAAATGGGTATATTTTTCTTCATTAACGCTATTATCTTGTTGAACTCCACCAAGAAAGTCTTTACAAAATTAATTCTTCTTTTCCTATTGGATTTAGATTTAAGGCAGTCTGTGGCTGGATCCATACTAGACAACAAATCCATTCTGGATCTGCATGACACCACATTATAGGCTATCCAAATTCCACAGGGGGTAGCTTCTATTCAAAAACTTGTTTTAATGGTATTGCATTTTGCAGCAAACAAAAGATCCATGGAGAAGATTCTCCTGGCTCATATGAATTTCCCTACCATGATAGCATTAATTGTATGTTTGGGGAGACAACTAGGGAAAAAGTGTAGCATTACCCGGACTGGGTTTCCTATAAGTAGAAGTCAATTTTAGAGATCTGATGGTCACTCAATAATGTAATATCCAAATAATTGATGGCAGAAGTAGACCTGTAAAACTAAAATTTGCTTACATCCACCAGGGGACACTTTTCCTTGTAGCCATTTACTACTGCAGCAAAAGGAGGAATTACACCATTGTTAACAACTGCCTCTGCCCACCTCTTAAATCTCTTGCTTAAAACCTGCATTTCATCTTGTGCCTTAAAGTGATAATGCATGTGCTCTAATAAATCCTTTTGAGGGCTTCCACTTGTTGCAATCAAGGAGATCTGAATTCTTGTAGTGCACCAACTGGGCCCCAACAAACACATAGAAGATCTTTCACTGCAGGGAGTAGCCTAGCCTTCCTAATTAAAGAGTTCTGTTTTCATCTCAGATTTGAACCTTGTCATCAGCTTTTGAGGACCCAAAGTTAGCCAGCCTTTTTCCTCGGTAGTTTCCCCTTTGCTCACTGGGGACAGAAACATCTCAGACTTGAGGTCCTTGGTTAGATTTTGATTTGCAGAATGTCCAGAACTGATTGAGATTTTTGCTGTATGTGTTGGCCTTTGCTTAAAGTTACTTGGAGGAATAACTGTTATTATTTACACCCACCCTTAATTTTGTGCTACTCTACTGTGCTCATACTTGACTCTAATATAAACAAATATCAGTTCACTCTAATCTGTGTGTGAGTCTATTTCAGGGTTGGCAAACTTTTGAGCACAGTGTGCTGAAAATTGTTTTCAAAGAAACTGAAAGTGCCAACTACATTAAAAAAATGTCAACTTCCCACTCCCAATTACAAAATGAAAAATGCTGTCACAGAAAGTAAATGCAGCAAACTTCTTGAATAATAATTACAGGAAAATAATATTAAGGATTCAAAGATTAATGGTAGGTGGTAAAATAAATAGTAACTTAGCCCTGTTCCAGAAGATGTGTGCTGCAGGGTAAGTACGGTGAGGTTGAATTGAAAATGGCAACTGAGGACTTCTGTGAAATATAGTTGGAAATAAAGTGAAGTCACTTTCGGTTGCACACAGATTTCTCAGTGATCAGAGGTAAATTAAGTGCAATATGGGTTTAATATACCTTTCAAAAGTGAGAAAATATTTGCTCTCATATATAAGTAGATCCAAATGCAGGTAGCTTTGCCAAGGCATCCTTCACCAATTTATGCACCTCAGATCAGCCCAAATCCTGCACCTGCAGATCTCAAATGACCCCCATTGCACCTCAGATCAGCCCAAATCCTGCACCTGCAGATCTCAAATGACCCCCATTGCACTTCAGATCAGCTCTAATTTCTGCACCTTCAAATCTCATATAAGCCCCAATGTATGCACCTTCACGCCTCAGATTAGGCACAATTTCTGCATTTTCAGGTCTCAAATGAGCCCCAACCTCTGCATCTTCACACCTTAGATCAGCCCTATTTCTGCACCTTTAGATCTCAGATGGACCAATTTCTGCACCTTCAGATCTTAGATGGGCCAATTCCTGCACCTTCAGATCTCAGATAGGCCAAATTATGCACCTTCAGATCTCAAATCAGGCCCAATTTCTGAACCTTCACACTTCAGATCAAGCACAATGTTTGCACCTGTACACCTCAAATCAGGCCCAATTTCTGCACTTTCACATCATTTTCTGCACCTTAAGATCTTAGATCAACCCAATATCTACACCTTCAGATCTCAAATCAGGTCCAATTTTTGCACCTTCATACTTCAGATAAGGCCTAATTTGTGCACCTTCCGATCTCAGATCCAGTCCAATGCATGCACCTTCAGATTTTCAGATCAAGTCTATTTTTTTGTACCTTCAGAACTCATATGAGACCCAATGCATACACTTTAACACCTCAGATCAGTACCAATTTCTGCACCTTCAGATCTCAGATGAGCCAATTTCTGTACCTTCAGATCTCAAATCAGGCCCAATTTTGCACCTTCATATCTCAGATGAATTAATTTGTGCATCTTCAGATCTCAAATCAGGCCCAATATTTGCACATTCACACCTCAGATCAGGCACAATTTTTGCACCTTCACAACTCAAATCAGGCCCACTTCCTGCACCTTCAGAACTCATATGAGCCCCAATGCATGCACCTTCACACCTCAGATCAAGCCCAGTTTCTGCACCTTCAGATCTCATATTCAGATTTCAGATCAGCTACAATGCATACACCTTCAGATCTCTGTTCAGGCCCAATTTCTGCACCTTCAAATCCCATATGAGCTCCACTTTCTGCACCTTCTCACCTCACATCAGGCCCAATTTCTGCACCTTTAGATCTCAAATCAACCCCAATGCATATACCTTCACAATTCAGATGAAGCCCAATGCATGCACCTTCAGACTGCAAATCACTCCCTATTTCTGCACCTTCAGATCTCATATGAGCCACAATGTCTGCACCTTCACACCTCAGATCAGCCCCAGTTCCTGCACCTTCAGATCTCAAATGAGCCCCAATTTCTGCACCTTCAGGTGCAAGGTCAGCCCCAATGCAGACCCCAGACCCAGATCAATGATATATAGTTTACCAGAATGCAAATATAACAGTTTTTCACAGGGAGGGGGTGGGGAGGGGGGTTGCAGTTCACAACACGTTTTGATGTGAACTGGCCCCTAGTGTTCTAAAAGTAGTAGTTACCAATATAAGTTCTAAGGTAGTAGTTCCTTCTATTGGTAACTACTACTTCAGAGCAAGGTTTGGTAACTAATACTCAGAGTAATCTGCAGTGCCACTCTTCCTTATTATTAAGCTAAAATCCCGGCCTCTTTAATATCAACCCGTGTTACATTTTCGTTTACTCAGTACAGTTTTCGTCCGAAAATACAATGCAAATACATTACATCACTTCCAAATTTTTTCTTCTGTCATACAAGAATTTTCGTAACTTTAGCAACCTATTCACTTTCGATATGAGACTAGCATGCAACAAAAAAAAAAGACGGTGATCATTTGTCCGATATTCTCAACGTGTATGCGGGCCTTTATGATCCCCAGGGGATGGGGGTGGAGTTTTGATAATAAACGTGGGACACATCAAAAAATGTCATAGATCACAACAGAGAACATTGTCAAGTGTCAATTTCCCTCAATTAAAAGAGCGACATAGAGGAGTATCTCCACTATATGTGTACTGGAAAATCACAACGTGGCAACACTTATGCTCCACTAGAGCAAGGTAA